AGGGTAAGGGTATAAGCTTCTTCAAAAATATTTCAAGAAGATTTTGTCACCTTTTTCACTTAAATAACCACTTGAAGAATTTTGACCAGTTGGATTCTTTGAATTGGTTGGATTAATTTTGATTGGTGTTCAATAACGTTTAGTAGTTGGATGATTATTTTTACCAGTTGAACCACAGTAATATGCTGGATCTTTTGAACTAATGTTACCATCCTTACCAGGTTGACTACTTGAATTATTTGAACCAATTTCACTGGTTACACATGCATTATCCAATTAGACCATTTCAACTGGTTGGATCATTAAACCAGTTTGTCCATTTTAGATATTGGCATCATTTTAACAAGTTGGATCATGTTAACCAGTTGCACCATTTTACTAAGTGAGATCGTTTCTTCCAATTGGACCATGTCACGTAATAAAAATCTTTTCACCGTTTAAACCATTTTATCTTGTTTTGGCTGGTTGGACCATGTTAACCAGTTGTATCATTTTGACTGGAGTGAAAAGTTCCGTTCTTAACCCTAGCCCTAACCCTAACCCTAACCCTAACCCAAACCCTAACCCGGGGCTAGGGTTCGGATTAGGATAGCTCGCAGCTAGAGTTAGAGTTAGGGCTTGGGTAGGGTGGGATTATGATAAGCTGAGCGTTACAATTTTTTCTGAAAACATTAAATTTTTTTTTTTGGTATTGTGTTTGGCTCTAAACTTTAACAACTACTTGAAAGTTTGCTTGAAATCAAAATATACCATTTTTTGCCAAAATAACTGCCAAAATGAGCAATTCGGGCCTTTTTATCAATTTACACTGGGTTTAAGCTTTGTTTTTGTGTTTTTCCACCGACTCTTGCACTATTTTGCTGAGAACATTGTGTTTTAGCTTTTTTGCAGCGTTTTTAAAACTGAAATAAGCTTATTTTTGCAAAAAAAAAAAAACAAACGTGTTTTTCAGTCGAATTGAGTGTTTTTGTCAACTTTAGCGAAAAATTTTGCAAAAATCATACATTTCTTCCGTATTTTTAGACAGATTTCGTCGCGATCTTGTGAAAAACATGTAGTTTCAAGCTAGTTTTCAGTGTTTTGGCAGTTATCTTGGCAAAAAATGGGTAAGTCAGCGCAATTTTTTTTTTTGGTTTTTAAGGGTTTTTTGCCCAAATTTTACTGAGAACACTGTGTGTTAGCTTGTCTCCATTGTTTTTTAGCAGATTCCATCGCTGTTTTGCTGAAAACATAACGTTTAAGCTTGTTTGCATCGTTTTTGGTCGTGAAATAAGCTAATTTTTGCAAAAGGAACAAAAACGTGTTTTTCGGCCCAAATTGACATAAAGGATACAGAAGAACATTTGCTTATTGCCTTTTTTTTTGTCCTTACTCATGAAGTTGATTTTGGCATTTCAAACAAAAACTCTGCTAGAGCATTAATTGAATGACATATCATGCACTTACTTTGAAGCAAGAACACTTTTTTTTTAATTCAGAAAAATACCTTTTTATTTTTTTTAAGGACTGCTGGATATAACCTGTACAACCAAGATGAATTTACATTCATTATTTGTCATAACTTACACTAAATTAGAAATTCAAGTATGAAATGAGGGTACTAGCCCTTTAATAGTGTTCAAAATTTCCATATGCAGCGGTACTTGTGGCTACTGGAGAAGAATCAGTCTTTAACCCTTCTCCCCCCCCCCCCAGGGAGATAATAAGTACAGATATCCTCTTCCCTAGGGGCAACTAGCTCAAAAGTGAGTGATCTCAGGGGCCCTCCAAAAAAGTTTTCTACAGCAATAACTAAGCTCTACAGAAGCACACTATGCAGACAAAAGGTGTAAGAGAATCAATGAATTCTTTAATTCTTGGTCCCTCCCAGGCCAACCTATTGTACAAATCTCATGACATCTGTTCCAGTTTCATCAGTCAATTTTTCAAGCTTCAAGCTTTTCCTGCAATTATGAACTTGTTCTTGAAGCTGAAAATTAACAAGGTTCCTGTAAATTAAGTTTACATAACAACCTAACAATTTGTGAAAATCACACAAATCCCAAGCTATATCCAGAATTATGCTCTTAATAAAATAAACTTTTAAAGCAAATTGGGATTTTGCTCTAGTTCTTTTTATTTTTTTGTTACTTTTTAAATACATTTGTATAAATAATGGTTAAATATTATTATTTTTCTTTCAATATTCCCATTCCAGTTGATGTATATTATTTGAATAACAAATCTTATTAGCATGTTAAAATCACCTGAGGACAAGGCATACACTTTGTGCCAAAATTGCTTTGCATCAAGTACGTTATCTAGTACATCATTACCATCTTCAGGTATTTCTAATTTACTCTTGAAAATCACACAAATCATAAGCTATATACAGCATACAATTGGCAGAAAATTATTAAAAAGGAATGCAGTAATCTTTAATAATAAGATTACTTAGTAGCTAAATAACAAATAGCCTAGTCAAAATGTGCCGGTAACCAGGGATTTGGCTGTCCACACAGAACATTTGTTAGGCATCTAGTCTGGACAAGGTTTGGCCTCTACCTTCTATTACTATAGCCAGCTTGCCTACTTCTAAAAAACATTTTGACTAGGCTGAAAAAAATGTTTGAGAGAAAAATGGCCACAACAAGCCCACTTACTGCAAAATAAGAAACATAAAGTCACAATTCAAATTAATACAGAATATAAGCCTTGCAGGATTTGGCTCTCAATAAAATTAGTTAAAATAGCCGATCTTGAGTTTAACTACTCACTCAAAATGGGCTGACAGCCTGCAATTTGGCCGCCTACAATGAAGCATCTTCCACTGACTTCACACCTTTCAGACTGCTTTTCAGGATGAGGTTTGGCCTCTGCTGCCTATAATTACAACAGCCAGCTTGTCTACTACTAAAGAACATTTTGACTGGGCTGTGCAAGTGTTACTAGCATATAAAAAGCACCTTCAGGTAGATTACAGCAAAGCAGACTTTGTACCAAAAGACTTTGCATTAAGTACATCATTACCCTCTACAGGTATTTCTAGTTTACATGTGAAAATCCCACAAATCACAAGGTATATTACATCATACATGTTGACAAAGCAATCAGGGGTAAATTTTTCATAATAGGATGCAATGGTCTTCAGTATCAAGATTATTTGGTACCTAAATAGTAAAATGTTCGAGAGAAGAAGTAATCGTAAACATTTTTTCTTTCTCATCAGCATCGACTTCCAAAAATAATGGATAATGACCACCTAAAACAAAGAAGAAATAAATCAAATTTGTGATTTCACAGGGCTTCAATACGAAACAAGTATGCATATCTTTTATTTCCTACCACTTACAAGTTGACTGAAACTCAGCTTACCCACAGGCGGCCCAAGCTCCAGCTGTGAGATGATCATCTTACGCAATAACGGTCATGGCGGAATTATAAGAGTTTGTATGGGCATATTTACGACCGCCCTCAGGAATAAAAAAAATACGTCAAATTCTCAAAAAAAATACCTCACCTCGCTTCCACAGCGTATTGCTTATTATCTGACCGCTTACTTTGATGAAAAGAGCCCATTTGAGCGAGTTGTTCATTTCGAGGTTTTCAACGTACATAAGAAAAGCCCAAGGCTGAACACTCCATTTCCGAACGCCTGATCCGAGAAGCGAAAAATCCAAGCTCAAAATGACCGGGCGGCCACAAATCTAACACAGAATCCAAGCACACATACTGTAGTTTCATTTCAATTCACTACAAACTCAATCTTCCCCGTGCAACCGACGCTAAGCCGCAGTTTGCTTCAAAAATTTCTAGTTTAGAGGTTTCTAACAGCCCGCGACCACATCAACCTTGACACACGACCGTTGAAACCCTACCTCCTTTACAAACTGAGCCTCGCCGGGGACCACACCGTCAGTTATCATCAATAAATTGTTTTAGAACCACGGGTCCCCTCAGGTCGAAATCGATCGAGAGGCTATTGTTTTATCCTAAAGTAAAAGAAATAAGTATCTACAAGGGCACTTGGCAAGAAACACATAGACGAAGTGCGAAATTTAGCGTAGCCGGCAACTAAGAATAAAGTGAATACTTACATGGCTGAGCGACTTGTTCTATTGTGACTCACATTCTGGTGCGGACGAAGCGAAATAACAGTTGTCTTGTTGGCAGAATTAAAATAGGTATGTCCAGATAGAACTAAATTGAATACTGGTATAAATCCTTGCCAGGTTTTCCTCTGACTACGAAAATAATCACACATTTGTAAACATTTCCGAAGGCGAATTCGATTGGCCGATCGAAACAATAGCCTCTTGATCGATTTCGACCGGAGGGGACCCGTGGTTCTAAAACTCGCTCAAATGGGCTCTTTTCATCAAAGTAAGCGGTCAGATAACAAGCAATACGCTGTGGAAGCGAGGTGAGGTATTTTTTTTTGAGAATTCGACATATTTTTTTATTCCTTAGAGCGCTCGTAAATATTCCTATACAAACTCTTATAATTCCGCCATGACCGTTATTGCGTAAGATGATCATCTCACAGCTGGAGCTTGGGCCGCCTGTGGCTTACCCATCTTCGTTTAGACCTCGAAACTTGCTGCTTTTTACCACCGTTTCAATGTTTTCTTGTTGTTCAAAAGGTGGTAGGGCCATTGCAGACCGTGATTTTTTTTTACTTGAGAACCAGATCGCAACACCCAAGCCTTTTCACGCTATATTAAACTACTGAGATTTCCTTCGCCGCCGTAAGCCGCCATTTTATCTTTCCCTGAATACTAGTTCCCAAGCTTCGAGCCCGAAGGTCTCACACATGCACTGAAATTATGCTATTTGTTATTTCAGGGCCAATTAAGAAATAACGATAATCGTTATTTTGGTCTCGAGATCATGTTGTATGTTGTGCCTACGGTGCAGCCTTGTTCCCAGAGTCTCCCAGAGTCCTCTCTTCTTTCATTATTTGATAATCGAGGACCCTGGACACGATCTTGCAAGGAAGGGACAGCGAAGAGAATAACAAAATGGCGGAACCCAGTGAGAAGTACATCCTCTTACGTGAACATACCGGAGAGGAATTAATGAAAAATTATCGCCCGCTCGACCTTTACGAAATATTTACATCAACGAAAGTGTTGCGAGGCGAGTTATTAGAAGGTTTTTTTAAGACTGGATCGACTGTGGTAACTGTTCGTGGAATTAGAAATGAATTATTACGTCTTGAATGTCCTGCAGAGGATATGAGTCGACTATCTGAAGAAGAGTGCAACTTGCTTTTGGCTATTACTTCAACTGAAGAAAGATATGAAACGTGGATGGACCGACATCGAGTACTATTTGCCCGACAACTGCTCCCCGGAAGTGCTGTTTTCGTGGAAGTTGAAGGAATTTCAAAGATTTTGCCTGGTATCGTTCGGTACAGAGGTATCTTGCCGTCTTCCTTCGGAACTTGGTTTGGAGTTGAGCTGATCGTAAGTAGAAGTTTTTATTTACCACCGTTATAATTTCCCGCGCTTGATTTAAGCCTGAGAGGAGATTCAACGATTTAACTGGTAGTCCACCCTTTTAATGTTGTTTTTAATTTTTTAAATTGTTTATTTGCTTCTGTAAGCGTGCCTCTTAGCCATGGTGTACCATTTTGTATAACACCAGTGAGTGTCCCCTGAACTCTCACAAATTGGATCACATGCACAAAATGCATCTGTCGGTTGGGTATTGGTTGATATTTAATTGTTTGACATTTCGATGGAGTGTTGGGAAATACAAGGTTGCCTCTTGATGGACACACATACTTTACCAACGCTCTGTCAAAACTTTACCAACACCTGGCTGACACTACCATTACTTGGTCAGTTCTTGTTACCAAGTTCAATCTTCTCTACTCAGTTTTTAACTTATTTTCTTTTGCCATTTAGAAGGGCAGGCTGGCAACATTCATCTATATGTCAAAGACTCTTGTTTTAAGGTTATGTCTTTTTTTCCATCATAGCTTTTATATGATCAAAATGACAGCTGTATGAGGTGTATCCTTGCTTTGCCAACTTATTTCATGAAGTACATAGAGCTTCAAGGTACAGTCTTGAACACAGCAACGGCCACTGCTTGTTAAATATCCTGTTTCACCATTTTTGAATTTCTATTGCTGTAGTAGCTTCTGAAAACAGCATCTTATCATCAGATGTGCCATTGGAAAGTTCATAGTGACCATCCTAAAACTTCTTTTCTTCTTAGTTATTTCCAAGATTTATCTCAGTTTCCTCTCACCTCCTTCCTCCAGTCAATACCCTAACTGGAGCTGGTCTAGTGTCCAGGCATATTGATTACAGGGTACAAGGGTGGGTTTTCCAACTTAATTAAATTAATTTCATCATCTGGACAATTTGATATTATTGAAGGGAGTGGGTTAGAGTTGTTACTCACCTCTTATAACTTCGTGATGAGAAAAAACTTGAGAAAGCCTAATTCAGGTTGGCTATGAAATTGTTTTCTAGCATCCCTAGGGTTTGTCTCTTTTGTTAAAATGGTCTGAAAGAGCCTAGTTTATTTCAAAGAAATCCTAGATGTAACTCAAGGAAACTTTAGCATAACAAACCTCATCTAAGATAAACTTTTGTTCAAAAGAAGTGCAAATTTGAACTAAAATGCTCACAATTTTGTCAATCTCACCAGAAGAAGGAACCAAACATGCTGTAGTATGTGACTGTTCACCTTGCCCTGTATGTTGAAAGTAGAAATTCTTACATTCTTGTGTAAACTGCTCCATGTAACCCACAAGAACTTAAATCTGATTTATGGATGGCCTAGTAATCTTTTCTGACGTGGGATGAGGATTTCTTGTTGAAATTGTTAACTTCCCTAGGCTCTAAGGAATGTTTAGTTTGAAGGTACCATTTCCATCTCTCACTAGGCTCAGTGGGTGAGAGGCAAAACTTAAACTTCCCTGCCCCTCTAAAATCTGTTTAAATCTAGCAGATGAATAACCAGGCACAACTTTAAGAGGTATTTTAAATGGAGAGGAAGAGAAGGAGAAGGAGCTGATGATGGTAGTGACTGAAAATGACAATAACAGCAAATCTAAAATGATCCCAGTAACAATGGTGAGGATCAGAATATTGTTGACAATAAACATGATGATGATGATGATGATGAAGGTGGCAGTGGTGACATGATATCAATAAGATCATGACTGGAGGCGTCACTCATATTTCAGATCCTGAGTATCACTTGTCAATATTATTTAAAAGCATATGTAATATATTTGTTCTTCCACTTTGCAAGTATGCTTACTTCATACTTCCTGATTTGCTATAATTTATAATGACCAAAGGGCAGAGTATTAATTGGTAAACATCTGAACTGCTATTATGTCCAGAGTATAAGCATCAAATGATTGATTCAAAAATTACAGAGACTCTATCACTAGCCTTTTCTACTGATATTAAGGAAAATGGAAACAGAAGTGTATAAACTGGCAGTTTAATAGTAAATATTCAGTCTTCTAATCAGTCATCTTCATTCCTTTTTGTTATCAAGCCAAAGCAGGGAAGTGTATCAAACTGTTTTATCCTTGAGTTTAACAAGTCAGTATGGGAAAACTTAAAATTAATTTTTCATTGATAGTTATATGAGCCACTTAACTTTAATTGGCTGTTGAACTCTTTGGTTTGACCAGTCCATTTCCCTTGATGGCTTCAATTGGAATGGGTGAAATAAGGCGTTGATGTGGTGCTACATCAGCCAGATTATGCAAAAAGAAATGCTGTTTTTGAAGCTTGTAAGTTTGAAGAATATTATCAATGATGACATTGAACACTTAATAATGTGCCACTATTATTTCCATCATCTTGAATTTTTGTGTAAAAATTGTCTGATTTTGTTATTGCTAGGTAAGTCCATATTTGATTATTATTTTTAAAGAATATTCCTCTCTTAAATTTCTGAGAAGTGAGTGACTTCGTTTATATAGCATTTTTTAAAAACCCAATCTGAAAACAGTTATATTATTTTGGGTGTTACTTAATATTTAGTCAGTATATGTTTAATTCATGTCAGTGTATATCATGTTCTAGAAGAGTTGCAATGAAGTCATGAGGCCAGAGATTAGGACTAATGATCATCCAGTGGCTCTAAAAAAATTAACATTTAAATTCCCAACTTGTTTAACCTCTGTCTAAATATTTTGATAAGAAATTCTGGACCAAGGTTTCACATTTTTCTTAATTATTATTAAAAATAATTTATCTGAGTACTATTTGGCTGCAAGCTATCAAAATGGATGCCTTAGCAGTATGAAATCAACCTCAACTAAGAAGGTTATTTTTTTATTTAACATATCCAGGGAAATCAAGGGTCAGGAGAAAGCGATGGGTCCTTCAGAAACAAGCGATACTTTCGCTGTGCTCCAGACTCTGCTGTTTTTGTTGGACTGGACAAATTAACGCCACGAGAACATAAAGAAGAGTTAAAATATGAAAATACAATTGAAAATATAGTGCACCTAAAGGGTTCCATACGATCATTTTGGGAAGGAAAGGAAAAGTCATTCAAAGAAATTGATGGAGTGCTTCGTATTGATGAAAGAGTTGTGACATTAATTAATGATAGTCCAGCCAGAGGAACTGTGCGATATATTGGTGAGGAACGAGGTTCAAGTGGAAATGTTGACATAATTTTAGGACTGCAGCTGGTAAGTTCATTAACATGCTTGTTTAACCAACTGTGACTGAGCTTTGTATTTAATGAAGTGTTATCCAGCTATCAGAGGAGATTAAACTGAATGATTATGTTCCGTTTTCCCGTGGCATTCTCGCGCGTAAATATTGGTCTATCATTTCTGCAAAGAAGAAATAAAATAAAGAAGAGAAATGATTGACAGGTATAAGTTCAGGAAAAGCCTGGATGTGTGATTAACTTGACGTCTTTTTTCCTATCCAAATATGAGAATGAGAATTTAGTGAACTATGAAATTGCAGTTGTCACTTCTTTTTAAAATTTACATAAAGAATGGATTCGAAGGATTAGTAGGGAAACATTTCATGAGGATAACTTATACAAGGATTAACAGGAGTATAAGCGCTTATTATTATAGTACCAATTGAGGATGGATGTTTTGTTTAGTTTTATTTGAGTTCAAGAAAAATCTAACGCAGACATGATATAAACTTGAGGACTTTCTGCTAAACCAAATTACTGAGTCAAAAGGTTTTACCAAGCATGCTTCAGCGTAATTGTGTTTTGATAATCCCCGGTTAGATCGGTGGCTGGGGTGCTCCACCCTCCGCGGCCTCGTTCGAATGATAGTCTAGTGACAGTAGCTGTTGTTAAAATTTAACCTACACGATAAAGGGATCGATTTTTACCGGCCAAATGATGCGGAATTTAACCTAGTTAGCCAAGCCATTTGTAATGCAAGGGTTATTTTTTGGAATAGGTAGGTTGAAAAGGGACACTAAGTAACTGACGTTTGCATTTTTGCAAAAGAAAAAGAGCGTTTCTTTCAATAGACTGCTATGAAAAATATCGTTCAAAAAATATCTGAAATAAACTCAGACACACGTATATTATGGTCTATTACCGCTGGTGTCTGAATAATTGTTATCAAAAATAAACTGCATTAGTGCCGCACCTCCCATAGTCTCCTCCACAGCCGTTGTTTGATCTCGTCACGCAACACGCAATCTTCCTCAAACATTATGGCCTGCCGGCAGGCCAAGACAAGGCTGTTCCTTCGTTAGAGACAAATGAACATTATTCGGTTACAGCTAGTCGCCAAAAAATATTCTTCTACATAATTTTGCTTTGGGAAGTAAATCAAAACTCTATTTTATCTCCAGTAGCTCCTAACCAAGGATATTTTGCCGTCTCCGTTCTTCAAACAAGTGAAAATACACTAGACGAAGAGAAAAGTATCATATTTCAAAGGTTTTCACGTGGGCATAGAAACGCAGGCTCCTCATTTGGATTTTGCCTATTTGAACTTTGCCCTGTACGTGCGGAATACGTTATAAAATGCGGGTTGTTTACAAAAAATTGACACGTGATTGGGTGAAGTCCAAGGTAGCTAAACGTGAATTTGATTCGTAGGAAACGTGTAAGCACTTAAGAGTTGCGTGAAAAATTGACTAATAGTCGCATTCAGTTCCCTGTGAAATTTTTTAAGTGGGAGAGGATTATGTCATAAAATTTAGGTTGTTTACTGGAAGCTTTTTATATGAGGAAACTCAGTCCACAGTGACAAGTAAACACGTTATTATAGAAAGAAAATAACGTTTAAGGACAAGACATAATTAATGGAGAACTTTTAAACGCGAAGAAATAGTCATTTCTCATCGCAGTCGACGCAGAAAGTAAATATAACTCGCTGATCTTTTCAACCTTCGCCAGGAGAGCAAACAGCAAAAAAGTGCGTGAAAAATGTCCACATCAATTTTCCAATGTCAAGGTTGGAGTTCTTTGACTTGATTGGCTCATTTGCGAAATCACGTGCGCCTTGTTTGAATACAAAAAGAATTCAAAGGAAGAAGAGGAAGAGGAAAATTGTAATTTTAAATTTAAAATGAAGGAGATGTTCTACATTCATCTGCAATAGAAGTCAAGGGCTTAGGCCACAGGCAGACCACTTATTGGTGCGACAGGAATGATAAACTTTTTTATTTTGAAGGAATGCGCGACGTTCGGGAATAAAGGACTGAGAATTAAAACGAACACAGTATCTTTGTCTTAAAAGCCTTTATAAAATGAAACGAAATGTTGGTACACTTAAGTATAGCGTTGCTAGTCCACAACGACATAACTCTGATTAGTCAATTTGATGCAACCAATAAGTGCATTAACATTTCGTTTCATTGTAAATGAGGTTTTTTAGACAAAGATGCCGTGTTAATTTTATTTTTCACTCCAGTAATCCCAACCATCATAAAATTATTTATATTCAAGAAGTTTTCCCCACCACGTGGTCGTATCCATTGAGTGGTCTGCCTGTGGTTTGGTTGTCTTGCATTAAACTGCGGAGGGAAAGTGGTATCTGTAACCTTTTCAGTCAGCTCGTGCATCAATGATGAATAGAGATGACACAGAAGCAAAAATTTTCATTTTACATTCCGAAGGTATAATTTAGAAGCAACTGACTAGGACGTAGCTGGTTTTTCTTGGAATGTATTTCGAGCGTTACTTCTTTAAAATTAGGTCCGGTTTTGTTTTGCTATTGCAGATTTTTTAAGCGAGCCTACTGAAACTACAAGTGCATATACTGGCCGGGCGATAGAGTTTAAACTGGTTGTAAGAAAAATACCTACACTGTAAACTTCGAATTGGCCAAGTAGTGTTTTAAAAAATGTGGTGTCCGTCTGTCACATTTTTATTTAGGATGAAAGATTGGGATTTGGTTGTGGTGAACTACTGGGTTTTCAAAAGTTTGCTTGCAAGAGAGATTATGCAGCATTTGTACCACTGACAACTGTCATACCAGAGAAGGACTTTCGTGGTTATCGTGGAAAAGCTGCACGACAAGAAGCTCAGGGAAAGTTGGAGCAAACTCATGAAGATGAAATGTATCTAAGATCAATGAGCTGTGTTAATGTACCATCAGGTAGACAAATTATTTTATATCTCAGTTGTTTTATAAATTTTTGATTCACTTGGTCAAGCACACTATGCATAATGAAGCAGAAAATCACAATCTGTGAACTGGTGTCTCTTTCACTCAATTCCCCGAAAACATTCAGATGTTGAGAAATTGTTCTTCCAATTACAAAAAAAGGGTATCAGATTGAAACTTTTAATTTTTGCCTTGGACATTTTGAAACACTGAAGCTTTAGTTGTATGGTGACATGGTGTCCTTGAGTGTTTTTTTCCCTCTTAATTTTTAGATCTTTTGCTGGTAGAATTATTAGTATGAATGGTTTGTGACAGATTAATATGCAACTTTGCTATTATTGGGGTCAGAATGAATGCTGGGATTGACCAACCCTCTATTAGGTTCCTCAAAGGGTATGTTGTTTTGCGCGGCCTTGATCTTTGTTGTTGTTGTGTGAGATGCAGAGCCGAAAAGTGTTGCAAATTCCTCTAAAGTTGGATGTTTGCATACCTTTTTCCTTTCCGAAGAGATCATTGATCTATGTGGGGACGTGTACAAAATTTTTACAAAACCCGGCTTTTATTTTCAATTCGTGGGTTTGTGTAGACTTCCGTGAAAAGTTGTTATACACCATCCATTTCATCCTATTTTGCGCAACCTTGATTTTTTTAGTCACAGGGTCTCGAAAATATCCAGGTCTTAACGATGAATCGTGCTGAGATTTTAAAGATGAAAACATTAAAAGACAAGCATGGGAATCTGTTTTCCTCTTTTCTCTTATACGTCCCTTAAACGACTTCAAATGAAAAATGAACATTTAAAGAAGAAAGGCAAGCAAATGCTCATGTTAATTCAGTCGCCATGTTTAATCTTTAAAAAAAGTATGCGGTTTATTGATTCACACTAGGTCACAACACTGGCGACTACGCTTACAATTGTGGTTGCGATTACGACGATCGCGTCACTGGTGTGAACAAGCCTTTCTAAAACTAAGAACTAAATTCCTGAATTATGTTATGATAAGATCATGTCTCCCTAGACATCCTTCCTTGTCATTACGATGGAAACTTTGGGGAAAACGGGGCAAATTCATGAAAGTGAATTGATTACAAGATCAACGAGCTGTAAGAGATACAGTTGCTAGACTCGTTCAACCTTTTTGTGACGATATCCCGAAGAAAGGAGCCTGGCAGTATGTAGAACTTGTAGAAACACCCCGTGTTGTGTATAGGTTTTCTGCATTTAGAGGTTTCCCTTTATGTCATTTATGTTTCATTCCCTTAAAGGAAAGCAACGACAATCACGAGACACGAGAGGTCAGCCGCCGAGCTTGCGAGAGAAACCGAGAGAAAATAACGAAGAACAAAAGAGTCCACTCGAACAATTAAGAGAGATGAAGCAGCAGGTGACTCAATTACAAGCACAACTGGAAGAGAAAGAGTCGGAAAAGCAGAAACAAGGTGACAGATTACAGAGACAGTTGCGGGAGATGGAGCAACGATTGGTAGACGAGCACGAAAGACTGCAAGAGAAGCATGATCAGTTTGTGAACTCTGAAGCACGAGTGAGAAAGATGGAGGAACAGCTAAGAAACGTTCAAGGACAGTTACAGGAGAAGCATGATCAGTTAGTGATCTCAGAGACACAAGTCCTGGAGATAGAGGAACAAGTGACAAACTTACTACGACAGTTACGTGAACATTCAGTTAATTCAGACGCACAAATTAGAGAGGCGACACAGCAATTGACCAATATGCAAGGGCAACTACAGGGAAAAGATGAAGAAATTGCTGGTTTACAAAATCAGGTGATTGAACTCGAAACGAGTCTCTCGACAGCTCAACAATTAGCGTTAAGTGAACGTCAACGGCAGGAGCCACCTGACTGGGTCATTTCACGCGATCAAATTCAGGTGACAGATAAATGCCTTGGAAGGGGAGCCTGGGGAAATGTTGTAGAAGGAAAGTATTGTGGCTGTGCCGTAGCTGTGAAAAAAATCCATGACTTGATTC